ATATTTTTAAACACTAATAGTATATTTACAATTTTATATTGCAATTTGCTATGATTTAGATTATTCCATAGTTGTTCTTAGAACAAGAAATATTTCTTCTTAAACAACATTTGAGTAAAATTTTGATGTATTTTTAAGGAAAAATGTTTGAATATGTAATACCTTCACTGAATTAGTAATTATGCAGAGAGTAGTAAAAGATATCACAAACAAAACTGTGGGAACCACAACAGCTATCATCAAATACCTCCATGTTTTATCTAGGTCAAAACGAGCTACAACATACGTTACATTCGGGTTCTGAAAAAATAAATCGAATTTATTTATAAAGCACATAAAAAATTATATTATAATATTAACACTACATCGACGACTAATTATTGAGACAAGTATTAAGAATCTGTTTAGTTGTCTAATGATGGGTTAGCAAGCAAGATTCAGAATGAATGTGATGAAGGTTTGCAAAACAGCATAAAATTTAATTCGATAAAATTATTTTAATTGTTATCACCAAACAAAATTGAGAGAATGATATATTACCAAAGGTTAACCATTGACCGTAAATGGTTAAAAACCAACCAAAAAATAATTTATACCATTGACAATAAATGGCTCAGAAGGAAAGCAACATTTTCTTTTTTGGCAGGGAATTTACTTGTATTTCACCCTGAAATCGCATTAGCCTAGTCCTATTTGAAAATTGATAGTACGTGTCTTTTCACATTTCATCAGTTTATTTGTCATGCTTCGTTTTTTTTGTAAAGAAAAGTAATATGTTCAAGCCAAAAAAATAATACGTATTTGAAGAAAATGTGTGGAGGAAAAAATATCATATAGTCAAAATTAGTTTGCAAATACTTTATTCGGAATTTTGATGCCATATCAATTATTTGTGAGAATCTAATTAATGAAAAATAGGCAATAAGCAAAATCGATGAAAGGTCGAAAAACTTAAATCGAGAATTGCTAAGTCGTTGAAATTAGTTAATCGGGCGGTACAGTTTTCTTTAACTCCGATCAGTTCATTATATTCAAAATTGCAATAACGATGAATTTGAACAAAAAACTATTTAAATAAAATATCATTTAATTTTTTATTACCTTGTTGTAATAGCATGGATATCTAGACTGAGCTGTCTGGTTGTCTCCATCACTTCCATGTGATGCCAAAAATTCCAAGCATTCACCTCGTAGAGTGTTAACACAGCCTTCTAAATTAATAAGTATTTTTTTTGATTGATATATGGTTAGGGCACTCTGCTTTGGTAAAAATCTATGATCTGGATCTACTTCAATACGACTATTGTTATATAAACTCCAAAACGTCGTGAAATTTATAGTAGGCGTCCGATTAATGACGGTTCGAGCAGGGTCCCATTTAAACAATCGCTTCCTCTGAAAACATAAAAAAATAAAAAATCATATACAAATTGATTTATATAGTATTTTATATTATCTACCTGAGTTGATTAACAGTTCTCGTTATGGAATGACAAGAAGCCAACAATGCTCCACTTCAGACGTATCGTTCCATATCTCGGTGGGTTCTATAGGACCTCCAGGATCTGGTCCATTCGACTCACTTAATGCAATCGCTCGAGAACATTCGGCACTGTATAAGTTATCTTCGAACATCAGGAATGTGTTTTGGGAAAATGTTGATATCCTGGGACAATAGCGATCGCAATGAAAAGGCCTTTTGATTTTAACGCAACGTGAACCTACGGAGATAACAATTAGAGATTAATCTATTAGCTAAATGTTTTTGAAGTAAAACTTCTTTAGATGCGACTAGGGTGTAAATCCGTGCAAATGCAACGGATGTCCGTTACGCCCGAACTGTTAGTCATTCGCTCTTGATGAGATCATTTTTATACGAGTCGACTGTGATTAGTCGTCGTGTATGTGAATAGAGATCTGTCGTTGTATGCGTACCGGCATCAACGTTGTATGCCGGTACGCACTCTTTTTTATTTTGGCTAATTTATTAAATTATTGGTTTTAAAAAACTTCATTTCATAGTTAAGACCCTCAGATTTTTTTTACTTCAAATGCTATATAATGATATTAATCTCCTTTCTGATGGTACTTTTTGCATAATAAAATGGAAATTTTAGGATTCTTTATGGATTATAGTTTGTGGATCTTACCTACACATTCGAAAAATCCGTTCAATTTCATGTTGTCCTTTTCGCTGTCGACTACAATTCCATCTGCCCTATGGTGACATAAATATAATTCAGATAAGTTGGCGCATTGTCCAAGAGAACAATTAAAGACACCAATGCAAGGAAGCGCATTCCGAACCGTTGTTGCAATTGTACCTTTTTAGGGCTCCAGTGTCCACCTGCAACAGTAAAAAATAATAGATTCAATGAAAATAAGGATCATAAAGTCTGCATAATTATGTCTGTAATAGGCAATAAGATGTTTTTAAATACAAAATGGATGTGTTATAGTAATGGTCAAAAAAATCTAAAATTAGAATTTTACATATCTTTACGTTTCAGAGGTTTTTGAATACAATTTTTCGTCGATATTTTCGGGTGCCCGCTCAACCGATTTGAATTATTCAAAAAGCAATAGATTTCTAGATTTTTTGAGAAATGTCGGTCTAGCCGTTTCGCAGATACGGAGCTAAATGTGCAAAAAATTGCAGTTTCAGAGAGAACTGAGCATCAGATTTGAATGATTCAAAAATATTCTGCTTATGTTAACAAAGTAATTGCTATAATTGCTTTTCCAAAATTAAAAAAAAATGAGATAAGGTCCTTTAATATTAACTTTAAGTTTCGTTTATTTACTTTGCTACTTGTGAACATATATAACGTTGTCGTCAAATTTATAATCTCTTACATTTCGTTTATAAAATAAAAATAATTAAAGTTACAATATTTATAATAATTTATTTGAAAACATTAATATTTTTCATTTTCAAGTATTTCCTTACTGTACGAGAAGTTTCAACAAT